CTTTAATGCACCCTAAATGAAAAACTGCCAACAAAATGTACATTTACCTGCTTCAAGATCCTCCTCGTCAATGTCTGGAGTGCCATAGCTGCGGCTCAGGGCTTCTTGCACCTCATTGGCTTCATCCATCATGTCCTCCAGCTGGTCCTGTAAATCCTGGAAGTCCAAATACTTGTGTTCACTTTTAATGCCTCAATTGTGAGATTTTAACTTTTATCCAGCATGTAAAATCATCATTTTAATTTCATCAGTTTTTAATCGACTGCTACACAAATAGGAAGAGAGAATCACATAACAGCAGGGGGCACTGAAAATAAATGAGACCTACTAAGTGTGTTGATTAGAACTCATTTAAACAAAACTATTAACCCATTTTGTTACTGCAGGGTTCTGAAATCAGAGCAAGTTTAATTATACAGTAAGAGCTGATAAATTGCTGAATCTGGCTGCTACTAAGAGTACAGTGTAAGTGTTGCAGAAATGTGATGTAATGTGAGGTGACTTTTCTTACAATTGATGCTTCACATACAGTAAGCAATTCTCCTGGCCTCAAGTATCTCCCCATTTTTGGCTAATGACTGCATTCATAGTTTAGACCAGTGGTTCCCAAACCTTTTTTGCTAGGCCCCCCTTTGTTTTACAAGAAAAATGTTGCCCCCCCGCGAACGCACACATTCCTCTAACCACACACGCCCATATTTTGCTCCATTACCGTTTATTTCACACCTCAAACATTTAGTAAACAATTAAGCAAATACAAGTAATCTGCAATAAATGACAGGTAGTAATAAAATAAACGACTAACTCTTTTACGCTATGTCCACGCCTACACGGGTATTTTTGAAAGCGCAGCTGTTTCGTCCACATGTAAACGGCGTTTCAAATGACAGAAAACTGAGATTTTTTAAAACTCCTTTTTTGCGTTTACGTGTGGATGAGGAATACAGAGTTTGTCACGCAACGTCAAAGGTATGTGCCTTTTTTCACGTCACGCTGTGCGCCACGTTATTGTTTACATGAGATGAATTGCAGAATGGCAGATAGAGACGAAATACTGTTAATCATCTGCAGGTTTTACACGCTTACATACACACACGCAGTTACTGTCCCTCCATTTAGAAAGGCAGAGGCGTCACGGTGTGATTATTTTACGTGTAGTTGTTTTTTTCCTGTGTAATAATATTCAACATTGCTATCAATACATTTTTAAAAAAATGCCTCTCTGTGGAAAATGGGTTGAAAAACATAAACAACTGTGGGATACTGTTTGTCCGTGATTTGAACCGGGGGACAAATCGTGGCAGGATCAGCCTGATATTATTTGTATCTCGCTGTAACTTTACTGTATAAACTCCTGTAATCTCCAAAATGTCAGGAGTAGTTAATCCTTACAACAAGTGTTTGTGAACTAAAAATCAAGAACGTAGGATCCTGTTTGTCCGTGATTTGAACAGCCCAGCGCTGCTCCCGACAAAGGGAAAACCAATTCTGCAGGGAGACCTACCTCGGCACTTGTGCAGGTGAAACCAAAGGGAAGATATGCTTCACCATATTTTCTAGTCTTTGGCTTAGAATGAAGTTGGTTTGGAAACATATTCAGCTATGCTTCATCTCTTGCTTTGCGTTTGTGTGGGCGCCCCGTGCTAGCAGTGTCCAAGCGTTTTGTTTTTTTTCCCCTTTTCATACCGCACCCCCCCTGCAATGGCTCTGCAGGGTCCCACACTTTGGGAAGCTCTGGTTTAGACAAACATACATCAATTTGATCAAGTCTGACGTCCTTGTAGGCCTTTTTCATATCCTTGGCACCAATCTTCATGGCCTCCACCTGGGGACAAAAAATACATGTGGATTTAGTCGCTGACAACATTTTCTCATCAGGTACAGACAATCTGAACACATCCACTACCACAACCAGGGAACTTTCTAATGAGATTTTTTTAATGAATGGACAAAATCAAAAGCTTAGCGATACAATATAGTATGTCAGAAATCTATTTGTTTGGTACGTATGAAAGCTGTGATTTGGAAAAAAGTGCTTAACAGCACCTAAAAAGTTGGAGTCTTGGAGTCATGCTGTGTGACTCTTACTGTTGTTTTGGTGTCCTTTAATGTCTGGATCGTGTAGTTTGCCTGCTCCATGTTAAAGGATTGTTGAGCCAGCTGCTCCCTTTGACCTTCATACCTATGTAAAAACAATACAGATGCTTTAATACATTTGAGTCTTTACATACATTATTACACTCCTATGTTATAGTAAAATCAAGAGCTTTTCACACCCCAGCCGTCTGCAAAGGGTTGGTGTGACAGAGTAGGGTGAGATAGTCGGCTGCAAACTGCCCCAGTGTGAGCTGGAGGTCGTCGCTTGATAAAGACAACAGAACCACATCATCTGCAAAAAGGATAGATTGCATCTGCAGATGGACCTAATGCCCTTGACCTCTTAGCTGCACCAAGAAATTTTGTTTGTGAAAGTTATGAACAAAACTGGTGACAAAGGACAAAACTGGCCAAGTGAAACACCACTGGGAAAAAGTCTGCCTTAATGGAAGCAATGTGACCAAGCTGCCACAATAATCAAATAAGCTGCTGCTTTTTGCAGATAATTTGGTTCTGTTAGTTTCATCGAATGACGATCTTCAGCTTGCTTACACTCTTTGTTGCATTCAGTGTTAGCAAGCTTGTTTGCTTTGAGGTACTGTGGCGGTGAGCCTGATTGTTTAATATGACATGTGAGCTGTTATGAAATTTTGCAGCTCCAATTAGAGAGCCAAAAATATTTAGCCCTAGGTTTGACATCTATGATGTTAATAATCACCAGTTACAGCCCTAAACAAAGCAGTTTTTATTATTACGATAGATATATGACACAATAATTCCTGTGTGAGACATTTAAATAGTTGACTTCATTTGTCTCTCCACATTTGCCTGATTTAGTTCACTTGCTCACTCCTTATATAAGAACTCACTTTTACTACCTCCTCACGATGCTTTGGGTTGGCAGATCTGGTAGGAGGAGAGTCGTGTTTTGTTTTCTTTCAGATTCAACACTTCATGCATTGATGTATTCGTCTTTACCTGTAAGGGCTTCTTCTTCTTTCAGATGCTCCCTTTAGCGGATCATCTGCCTCTATCTCACCCTACTTTGTCACACCAACCCTTTGCAGGTCCTCTTTCATTAAATCTATAAACCTCTGTGGTTGTCCTGTTTAACTCCTGCCTGGCAGCTCCATATTCAACATCCTTCGTCCAATATATTCAACTGGACCTCCTTTGAGAAAAGGACACTAGAGAAGGACACTAAAAAAACTGCTGGACATTATAGACAATGCTGGGCATCCTCTGCACACGGCCATAAACAACCAGAAGAGTCTGTTCAGTGACAGGTTGCTTCTCCC